ACAACAACAACAACAACAATAATAATAAAGAACTAAGTTTGATACAATTAAAGTTTTGACTATTAGGGGGGAAATGTTATGATACAGGATATAATCAAATAAAGTAGGGATAAGAATAACAATGCATATATAGATATGGGTATAACATAAGGAAACTGGATGTAAACTTTAAATAATGATTTGGAAAGGAGGATTAGAAAACTTCGTTATTAACTATTATGAGGTTTAGCTAGAACAGGACATAAGGATTTAGTGTTAGTGGAGGATTTTAGAAACAGTAATTGAAAGGCCAGTATGTGGTTATGTATTAAATTTTGGTATATTTTCGATGAAGGACACTTACACAATTATATTCAAACAAAAATGGAGATATAATGATGGTGACATGTATAAATATTTGAGTTAAAATACTTAATATAATATTAATTATGTTTGTTGACTGTGGAAGAGATGCATAGAAGTTTTTTTTTGTAACCAACTGATACATTTTCTATAGAATGTAAAGAAGGATGCCGCATTTTTTTTAAATTAATTTTAAAAAAAATATTTAAAAAAAGTGTTGGGGACTTTCATAAGGAAGGAGGCTGGAGTCAGTGCATCAAGAGCCACGAAAAACAGATGGATCCTGGACATAGGCTTCAAATGTCATGTTCCTCTTGTAAAGCCGCTCCTGAAGAACAAACAACATCAGAAGCATCTTACCTGGGATAAAGTAAAACAGACCTGGTCTGTTGCTCAGTGGTCCAAAGTCCTCTTTTCTGATGAGAGCAACTTTTGCATCTCATTTGAAAACCAAGGACCCACCGAAGAGCTGTCCCCACTCAGCTGCCCTTCCTGCCGCTACACTCCCTCTGCATGCTGGGCCTCTGGCCTGAGTGGTAGCAAGCGATAGCAGTACAGGGCAGCTGGTGCCACCGGCAACTATTGCTGCTGGGTTAGCTGTGATTTGCATTGCTTAGCAAGCAGCGCCCCGACTCCCCCGACGCAGCCACCACTGCTGCGCCACCTCAGCAGCAGCACCTCTTGCCCGCAGAACCGAGGTGGGGAAGAAGAAGATTGAGAGAGCCACAGACTCACTGCTTTTCCCTGCCCCACAGCTTGCCTCCTTGGGTGGGACCACGGCACCCACAGGGTGAGTGGAGTTTGCGACCAACTTTAATGTGAATGGAGCTGTTTGAGACTAAATGGGATAGAGAACTGTTGTGGCCTGGCAGGAGCCGTTGGAGGTGCCGCCAGACTCTGACAGAGAGGGGGCTTATGAGTCGGCCTTGGAGGAGGTGGAGGACCCTGGACAAGGTGTCAACTCCAAGCAGGTCGAGGAGAGATTGATTGACCACCAGGTGGTGGCAGAGCATTGGATCAGAGGGAGTGTTCAGGAAAACATTTGGGAGTTGTTTCAGGATGCACACAGGTGCAGGGCTACTCGGTGTAAAGAACAACGG